ACAAAGTTTGTTTGCATTGTGAAAAGAAGGGATATTATGTGCAAGACGGTTTCCGCCCACAGGGAAACAAGTAAAGGGGCAAGGGGGACTAAACCGTAGAGGAAGGTTCCTCTAAGGAGCTTGAATCTGATCAGCAACCTGACCTTGAAGGCCCTTCCTGATGTTGATCCTAGGGCTGAATCCCTTCAAGTTCTCTATGAAGGGCCCTGGGAGGAGTCTCAAGAAGCAGACCTCCACTACCATGTAGCGCACTGGGTCAAGCTTAGGCAAAGTCCGGCTCATGGGGTAGTGAAGTTGATCTTCTTCAAGCTCCTCATTGGGCGTACTTACATCCGTGCTCTGATTGATTGTAGTGCAACTGCTAACTTCTTTTCTCTGCGCTGTATTCGTAAGGCGGGCCTAGGAATGAAGCAGGTGGAACTGCAGAACCCCTGCATTGGCAACCAAGCGGTGTCACCTCCAGGCATGCGGTCAAACGTGTGCGCACTGCATTTGACGCTGATCGCACTGTCACACATGCTCTGAACTTCTATGTCCTCGAAGAGCGTCCTTTCTAAGCAGTCATTCAATTGGGATGGCTTCCTGCCCAATGCCTAAAAGCGCGATTTGGAAGGAACCAGCTTCGTGGTGCTCGATGGTATGTGAGTCGAGCATTCTGTCCTCTTAGGTGAAATGCAGACGATGAAGAAGACATCCAGGGATTTGCTCCCCCTACTCCAGTTCATGGATGGCGGAGGGCCTACAATGTGAGGTGGTGGAGGTGGCGGCGAACAGAGACGCCCGCCTTGCAGTGGCCGGCCATTCGTTTGCTGGGACAGGGAACCTCTGCCTCTAGTTGTGAGCAGAACCAGAGCCTCTTCAAGAGGATGCACTCCAGGCTACCCAACCAGCTAGGCACCAACCAGTTGAGCAAGCTGGCGTACGACAGATGTAACCAGCAGCGGTTGGACGGCTTGGAGAACAAGCCGAAGTGCAATGACGAGGAGCTTGCATGGGGGAAGAACACCAAAAGAGCTGCACAAAGATGCAAAGCACCACGCGGAGCAGTGGAAAGCCATGCTGCAATGCAACAATACAGAGACGGACAATGGTGATGAGGTTGATGGGGATGATGATGATGATGATGATGATGATGATGACACTCACCCTGACAACAATACCGACAATAATGCAGATGACGAGCGGCCGAGAGGCGAGGGCGTATTTCGCACCAGCGAGCTTTCTGCAGCCTGCTGGAACTGGAAAGGGAAATCAATGTCGAGCCGCAATCGTGGTAGAAGTGCACATGACCCTCCAAGTGTCTTGCTCGCCTGCATTTGTGTGAATCTCAGCGTGCCAGCAAGAACATCACAGCTGACCATGCCGAGAAGTACACCAGCACCAGGACTCACATATGTGCTCCAACTGCAAAGGCGAGTGGGCCCAGGCGACCGCGGAAGGTGCTGCAGGCGAAGAACACGCAGGCCGATGGGACGGAGGGGGTTGAAAGCGCGGAAGTGGAGGAGAGGGACATGGACATCATCACAGTCAAATCAACCGACCAGGATTCTGAATCAAAGCCCTCTCCAAAAGGCATAAGGGGCCATAAGAGAGAGTGCGCGTGCTAGAGAGAGAGAGAGAGAGAGAGAGAGAGACAAATTCGAGCTTCCTCGATAATCATTTTCAATACTGAATTCATTATCTGTAAATTAACAATACGAGATGAGGCGGCTGGGAAGAGCGGTCGTTTTCGGGGAAGCATACCCTGCAGCCCTTTGGCCTTGAGCAAAAGCAGCTACTTCACGATATTGTGCAAGTTCTAGTTTAAGACTCTACCGAACGCTTGTTTCATAGCTCCCGGATCATTTTTTGTATTTTTTTCAAGCGAGGTACTGTCAATAGGTGTTTGATCGGGGCCCGGAGTCACCTTTTGTGATAATTTATATATGATTATCCAGATTCCGACGTTTCGCAGAAAACCTCCAAGATCATAGTAAACCCCAAAGGGTTTTTTATAGAAATACAACAAGCACGAAGTGGCAGACGCGAACTTTCGACGTGTCAAGGTGTGGGTCTCATATACATAAAGTCAACGAAAAGTTGAAAACACATATGCTCTGATCCAAAACGTACAAAATTTCATAAATACCAGAAAGGAAGACCAAGTGCACCCCCTGCACCCCCTCCAACCCCCTCTGTACACCTTGCAATATCCCTTCAGAAAAAAAAACAAAAAAAGAATACAAAGAAATCTGAGAGAAATATAACCATGCAATGCAGAATAATGAACTAAACAACTTTTTGTCTCAGGGTCACACTGAAAACGGAAATGCTTTACCTAATTCATAATTAAAAAATAACATGATATGTAACATGATTTTTGTGATTTTTTATGCGGACATTTGCAGCACTTGCTGGAGCACTCCGGACTGTCTGGGTCGGGCTACGTTCAGACTAGACTGGGCTCAAGTCCAGCCGGATATACAGCTGTGTCCACCTAGAGGTCCGCAGTGGCCATGATGAGAAGGAATTATGAAGTGACCCTCAGCCAGAAGTGCATATGCAACTTTTTTTTTTTTTTTTTTTCACTTTTTATTGGGGGCCGCGCGTACGCGTGCCCCCGCTACCAGAAATACTGCCGTAGTAACACCGCAGTGGGTGTGACTTAGGCCAGGCGAGACCCAAAGTGCAATGGGAACCCTGCAACCTAGGCCATCCGCCTTCGTGATCACGGATGTGCCCCGGCCAGGTAAGTATTGCATATGCAACTTTCGATTGCAATTCTACAAAACATTTTCTTTTCACACAGTTTTTTTCTTTTTTTTTCTTTTTTGACTTTGGGGACAAACTCCTTGAGATTAGCATTATTTCAAATTATTTGCCATACAGAATCATTCTTTATCAATTTCAAAAGACAAATCTCAGTTCTACAATCAGGAATTGAAATGAGCAGCATTCAATTCTCTCTCTCTCTCTCTCTCTCTCTCTCTCTCTCTCTCTCTCTCTCTCTCTCTCTCT